TGACCCCTGCGCTCCGTTCTCTTGTCGTCTGCAGGTGGCGATGGCAACGGGGCAGGTGTTGTTTCATCGTTTTTTCTACTCCAAGTCTTTCGTCAAGCACAGCTTCGAGGTGAGCGCGGCCCGTGGAGAGGGGATTGCTTCCTTCGGGAGCGGGAAAGGGGGAGGCGGGGAGCTAGTGGGAGGGAGTGGTTGGTTCAGGCCTTTTGTACCTAGCAGTCCGGGGCCCGGCAGGAAGTGGGGGGCCTTTGCCGTGTACTTTGAAAACGCCCAGGATTCTGACTCCAGACGCTTCCTCAGTCAACCGAGGTTTACGGTTTTCAAGTAAATGCAACACAGACTTTTGAGATCGAGTGGAACTCTGGATCCAGCGCCAGGAGTTTGAGCAATTTTTAAAAGCTTAGGACGTTGAGCAATGAAGCGAACTGGTACTCTGGGACCTAGGCATAGCATGATGGCTTTATTTCGCCAAAGTTTGCCCCGAGTGTGCCCTAGGGTTTCGAAATCAAAATAGGTTGGTTACACTTCCGGGAGGCGCTGTTCTCTTTGCCAACTACACTTGATGGTTCAGAAGTTGTAGCAGTTGTTTTCATGGACTCACGGTGTTTGCCCTTTTTTGGTGGTTGTTTCAGATTGTTGCCATGGCCTGTATCAATCTTGCATCAAAAATCGAAGAAGCACCTAGAAGAATAAGAGATGTGATTAATGTATTTCATCATCTCCGCCAGTTAAGAGGAAAAAGGTAAGAATGGCATTATTGGACATAGTGTCTCCTGCTACTTCTGCACTGTGCACCACCAGTCATCAAGTCAAAACATTCTTTCCTCTCTAGCTAATAAGGACGCAAAGGGAAGCCGACTTTAGGTGTTAGCATTTACTAATTTGGGAAAAGTATAATGAACTCGTTTTCTGAAGGTTGAGTTTGAGTTGTGATTGCCGTGAAAGCCAGTCCTGTGGCTTAAGATTAAACAAGAAAAGGAAGGGGGATGCATTGGGTCCCAGTGTGAGTGTCTTTTCTTTTTGTGAGTTCTCCCTCCCTCACCCACCCCCACCCCCTTCCCCTGGAGCACTGAAAGCTGGAAGCTTAAACAAGACACTTCCAGTGGAGGCTGTGACCGATTTGCGTGTAGATTGTTTCCCTATCTGAAGTCCCAGTTAATTATGTACCAATTGAGGTTGGCTTTTGTTAGAATACTTCTCAGCATTGAACTCGAGTAGTGCTGGATCTGAAAGGACTGCAGGGTGATAAAGTCTGACGTTTGGAATCAAGGGGATTAAACAGGTATTTTGTATTGGGTCAGATCGGTTGTCGTGGGTTAGAAAAGTCACTCACGCAAAGGGTTCAATTGAATTTAGGTAAGCTTGTTTGTCAGAGATAGAAACAGTATTGCAGGTGTGTTGTGACTATGTATTCATACGATGGGGTGCCATTTAAGTTTCCATTGTGCAGTTGCAGGTGATTCTGGTCCGTCCTCCAGAAGGATCTACTTGGCCTAGATCAGTTGTGCTTCCTTTCTAAGGAATTGTGATGTTAGACAAATTTATACTGAGTTTGGAAAGAAGGAGGTGGGAAAACGAGAGTTAAGCTGTATTGGGAGTTGGGTGTTGGCTAGTGTTACATATCATTGACACTTATTATTGGCTGAATTCACTTTAAAGAGAATAGTAATGAAATTGTTCAGCAACTAAATGTTAAGATAGCCATAAGATGATTTCATCTAATCAAAAAGCCTAAAGGATTACTATTCAGATTTTTCACAGTAGTGGGGTTTTTTCCCCTTCCTGGTTTTCTTAATTTTCCTTCTACCACATCTTATTTCTGGTTCTAACTTTATTCAGTGAGAGTACATATACACATACTTGTAGCTTTTTGTTGAGAAAACCCAGGAAAATGGGAAGATTTCAAATTGGTATATTGTATGGGCTGAGCTTATATTTGTATTTAGAGATCTAGCTATATATAATTTTTCGGGTTGTTTAAAACAAAACAACACACTCTGGTAATACAGAAGGAGCTATATATTTTTAGCCAAAGGATTCTGTTTGCTTAAAGGAAATAATTTTCTGGCGGTATTCTTTGAACAATTGGCCTAACTATGATGTAATTACACACAGTGATTAATTTCTTTGAACTTTTTCTGTGAAACTTAGTCTTCCTTCGTTAGTTAGGTCTTCCTAACTATAAAAACTTTGGAACTTAAAATGTCCCATCTAACTGTTGTGTCTGATGCCACAGTGCCTTTGGGGTTTGTTTTGATTTTGGCATTACAGAGACATTTATTTTGTCTCAATCTTAGAAGTGTGATTATAACAATGAAATTTAAAAGTTAATTGCATGGAAGACTCTTTTAAGCAGGATGTAAAAGTGTTTCTATGCATTTACAAGTTTACTCAGACATATAAGCTGTATATGTTATTAACTTCAACTCTTTTTTCCCTTGCAACCGACTATACAGCGACCAGCTACATTTACCAAAGCCTGGGTGATGTGGAGTGGTACATAGAGATGAAGCTGTCGTCATGGCAACAGTGAGTGAAGTATCGAAAATCCCCAAGGAGAAGCCAGTGTTCTGAGAATTAGGTCACTGGAATCGGGGACTAACAGGTTGGCCACTGGTGAACCATTTAGAAAAACTCCTGTTTCTTGTTACAAGCTTTTGTCTTTGCTGTCCAAGTTATTCGAACCATAGTATAGTGTTTTTGTGTAGATTAATGTTACTAGAAAGTACTTGTAATGCTGTATTTTAATTAGGCAGAGGTGCAGTTTATTTTCATCTAGTTTATGTGTAACTTTGAATGGTATTGTTACCCTGATAATGAAGAAGTCTTCTTCTATGTAGCATTAGACTGCCAGTCCTACCTGCACATTAGCGTGACTAGGGGGGCTGTAAGATCTAACACCAATGCCAGGTTACTTTGACTCCTCACCCATCCCTCCTGCCCCCTTCCACTTCTTGTTTGAGCCTTTATAAAGGGGGAAGAATACATTCAGTAGTTGGGAAGGAGGCTAATAATGTTCTAAGAAAATTTAAGTTTTCTCTAATTTGAAGGAGCCACACATTGACACTTTGAGCCTTGGGAGAGTGCTGCGAAATTCAAACACTGGCTCGTTACTGATATTTTCCAACATGAATTTGACCTGAATCTTAATCAACCTTTAAAGATGAGTATTACTTCCATTGAAGTGAGCGTTGTAAGTTTTAAATATATTTTAGACTTTTAAAATTGAGCCTGCGGTCTATCGACTTTGCCTCTTGTCTGAGTTGGCATTAACTTAACTACTGGTAAACTGTTTATGGAGAACTTTAAAAAATTTCACTGTACTTGTACCGCATGGGTGGTGCTAATCCTGTTCAGATCTCTACTCATGCCCACTCCCCCTTTTGAATTAAATTTCAATTGTAAGTAATCTTGCTAAAGGAAAAATAGCTACTCTGAGAAGCAAGGTACACAAGCTGTCAAAAAGTAAGTGTCCTATTAAAACTAAAATGTGGAAGTTGTTTTTTTGTTACATATTTACCTAAATATTTGACAGTAACGTAATTAAAGGAGGGGAGGTAAAGAGGCAGGACTGAGTGGGTGGGTGGGTATTGATAGTGAAAACTATTTCTTTGAATTAATGGTTTTACAGGAGAGATTTTAAAACAATCTTTAGGGTAGGTACTTTGACAGGTTTGTACAAAACTTATCTGATTGAGGGGGCAGAAATTAAAACAATCTTTAGGGTAGGTACTTTGACAGGTTTGTACGAAACTCATCTGATTGAGGGGGCAGAAATTAAAACAATCTTTAGGGTAGGTACTTTGACAGGTTTGTACGAAACTCATCTGATTGAGGGGGCAGAAATTCTAGCTAGTTTAATTCTATTTAGTATGCGTAGTGCCATGAGTACTAATTTGTGCTTTCCAATTGCAATAAAGAGCTTGCTTACCTTTTCTCAGAGTCTTTGTTTAACAGAAACACGTATATTTTTCCTTGGTACAAAATCAGTACTGTTAAAGGTAGTTGTAAATTATGCAAGTCCATTTAACCTTCCTTCATGAGCGCAGTGAAACTCAAAGTTAACTTTCCTGCAAGTTAGAACAAGCCTAAACAAAAATGAGTGTATTTGTTGAGTTATAGAAAATAACAAGTTTCGTTTGCCTCACTTTTGGTTCTTGTGAGATTTTCGTAAACTTATAAAGGAATTTACAGAATATGATTCATATGGATAATAATGATATAAGCAGAATTGCTTAGTTCTTGTCTGATATGGGACCAGGTTATAGTCCATAATTTTAAAAACCTTCAGCTGGTTTATAACTGAAAGAACAAATGAATCCCTACTATTTGAGAGCAATTCTTAGAGGTGAAGTTGATATCTACCCATTTAGAAGGGAAAAGTAAGACAACTTTTATAAAATGTATACTTGTGACATTTCATTTTTATTTGGGATTCCGATGCTATAGTTACACACACACCCCACCCCCACCCCCCCGGTGCAGAAGGTAAGCGTTAGGTGGCACAATTGTGACATAGGTGGTATTCTGTTTCCTATTACCAGTACAGTTGAAGGCCATAAGTAATAATTGGTCATCAATATATCCCCACCCTGCTAAGTTTGCTATAACCATACCTGAGAATTATTTTTAAACTTCTAAGATTCAAAAAGCAACTATTACAGTTTTCTGCCCTGATTAAGATGATTCTTTGTATCTCTATAGTAGAAAGCGCACAACTGTAATACTGAGTCAGTCTGACTCATAGTAACTGTAGGACAGAGGACTAGTCCCAGGGGGTTACAAGATTGTATCTATTAGAGTAGAAATCCTCACTTATCCTGGTGGTTTTGGACTGATAGCCTTGCCATTAGCAGCCAGTGCATAACCCATGGCCCCTTTGGCACTTAGAAAACTAAAGAAAAATGTACTTACTTTAACTGGATTCTGAATAATGGGGACCCTATAGTGACCAAATAATGGGACAAGGTAGAACTTGCCCTGTGGGTTTCCAAAATTGTGACTCTCTGAAGAGAATAGAAAGTCTCATGTTTCTCTGAAGCAGCCTGTGGTTTCAAACTCCTGCTCTTTAGTTAGTCCAACATGTAACCACCACACCACCAGGGGCCCTATGGGTAGACCGCCCGTCTAAACTGGTGCTCTCCCACCTCACATCTTATATGGTGTAATTAATTAGCTATGATATGAAGGGAACTGAAGGCAAGACCATTTTTCAGCTATAAGTAATAGATACTTGTCAAGTCAACTGTGGCAACTTCAGTTTTGCTGAATGTATTTTAATAAGTCATTATTTTGAAACAATTTAGTAAACAGCCCTGTCTTATATTTTAACTGAGTGAAAAGGGTAGGGAAGCTGTTAGTTTTTTGTTTTATTATTTTGCACTTAATGCAGGTGCCATTGATTGCTTTTTAGCCTTCAAGTATGTTTTTCAAATGTCTGCCTGCTTATTTCTGGATTTAGGTGGCATGTTGAAATGAGATAAAGCTTGTGTATCTTGTCTTGTAGAAAAAGGAATGTTAGACTCTGCCATGTAGAGTAAACTTCTAATAGACATTGGCTAAGAGAAATCCGAATGTGGAAGAAGATATTTAAACGTTCTACCCATTTACTTAGCATATTATGAAGAATGCCTTTGATATGCTGGACCTGATAACAGTGGGCAGGCACTTTGACTGCTGAGGTCCTTTTGAACCACCCCCAACCACCCCCCCTCACCCCCAGCTGCTCCATGTGAGACAGATGTGGTGATCACTTTTGTAAAGATTTTGGAAACCCCATGGGGTTCTGTTTTGTCCTATGGAGTTGCTTTGAGGGGTGTGTGGTGTGTTGGTCTGTGTGACGCTAAAAAAGGGTATGGGTAAATTAAATTATGGATTTCAAAGCATGAATACTCACTTTTAACAGTGAGTATACCTAAATGGAAACGTGCAGGAAGAAAATCCATTTTAATAAGACTTAAAATTATCTTTTACCCTAAGTTTAAGTCTTTTAGCTTTGTTTTTTTGAGAAACAACAAAAACCCCACTGAAACAGAACACCGCTAGAGGCCAGGCATCAATTGAGCAAGGCTTGTTCTGTAGCATTGACCCACTGATGTGTGTAGTCTGAATCATTGAAATTGCCATAGAGACCGTAAGTGTGTTCTAATTTATTGCTTAATAGCTGTGCCTCTGGCAGCTCTAACCACATGACATGATGATGTAACTGACTAAATTAAGGCCTGGTGTGTTTTTTTGTTTCACAGGTAACTGAGCTGTGCGTCATTTCATATTTGCTTTGGTAATTGAGAAAAATCTTTAGAAATGTTCTTAATTTATTTTAAATAGAAAATTTTAATAGAAGTAACAATTTGCCCACCTTGGTGAGTCTTTAAAAGAACTTATTTTCCTCCAATATTTACTTGGACCATAAACCAGCCAAGAGAGGATATTTTATAGAATGAGTAAAATCATTTTAATCTATTGAATTATTTGTAGTACCATAACTTTATTAAAGAACCACTATTGTCTATGGGGAAAGGCTTGCTAACTATTGAGACTACTGAGGTTGTGCTAATTGTACATAAGTCAAGTTGTCCCCTAAGTTAATATGTACACATAAACACACCCTTCAAGCCTAGTTGTTATGAAATCTATGTAAATAGTCCTAGTGTGTTGAGTGATCAAGACTTTCCCATTAGTGTTCTGTTAGCTCCTGTAGAAACTTAATCTAAATGTTTACCTTTATTTATTTAATTAGCATAACTTGGACAGCACAAGATTAATGCTTTAACTTGTTTGCAGGAGTTTAAAAAGCTGGTTTCTGTTGCCAATAGTTGGTTGGAAGGGAAAATGGAGCTGCCACACATAAAAATTTTTGGATGTGCAAAACAGTTTTGATTTTATTTCTTACAAACTATAGGACTCCAAGCCCTCTGATTCTTGATCAGAACTACATAAACACCAAAAATCAAGTTATCAAAGCAGAAAGGAGGGTGCTAAAGGAGTTGGGATTTTGTGTTCATGTCAAGCATCCCCATAAGGTGAGTTACAGAGTACAGAGGTGACATTCGTAAGTATTAGGGTTTCTCTTAAAAGTTTCTTTTGAGTGGTTCTATATTTTAGTTACAAAGTTAATGTTTGTTTTTTTAAAACTCTTTGGGGTGTTGTAATTAATTAAATGGGGGTTAAAAAAAAAGACATAGGCTCAAATGTTAACCTTCACTCTATATAATTTGGGGGTTTTTTCCCCTCTTGTCAGTCGTTCCTACCCCCCAAAATAGGGGTAGTGCAATTCTGTCTTCCAAGTAATAGATAATGTCTATAAAAGCACCCAGAAAACTGTAGTCAGTAAATGCTCAGTATGGCTGCTCACTCAGCGGTGACTTTGGTGGGAAGGTGGCTCTGGCAGTAGCTCTTGCTGTCATGAGATCATTGTAAACAAGCTCAGTGCTTAAAACAGTGGGTGCTTTTTGAACTGAGAGAGAAACTTGCTTCTGCCATGGCAGATGCTCCTTAGTTTCTACAGCTTTAGTGTGGGAATAGTGATGCTACAGTAGGTCCAGAAAGATCTGGTCTACGCTTACGTTAAGCTTACGTAGTTTAGTGTGCTGTGTCGCTACAAAGATGTAGTTGACTGTTTATTGTAACGTCCACATTGGATGTTAATTTGTATCATACCAATTGTGTAACTTGGCTTTGAGGATATTTGGACCAGAATGTACCTTGAGTGCTGGGTAAATGAACCAGAAAGTCATTGGTTCAGCTCTACCAGCCACTATGGGAGAAAGATGAGGCTGTCAGCCCCTATCTAGGGTCACTGAATTAGAATCTACTTGCTGGCAGTGGGTTGTTTGACTTTAATGTGCATGAAACATCTAGCACCGGGCTGGGTACATACTAAAGTGTTCATCGCTTAGCTATTTGATACTTTAATTGATTAATATTCATTTTGTTCTGTACAATTTTAGAACATACTTATAAACAATTTTGTGAAATCTGGTAACCAACTTAAACCACATGGATTGAATCTCTGGTACAATTTAGCTTGTGTAATCTTTTTAATATCTATATAGCTTAAGAAAGAATAAAAGCTTGTAACTGATATTTTTAATTATTTTATTCACTGAATTCTGATCTAGAAGAATCACCAAAAAGCTAAATGGCCTTTTTTTCCCCCTTCAGATCATTGTTGTGTATTTACAAGTCTTAGAGTGTGAGCGTAATCAAACCCTGGTTCAAACTGCCTGGTAAGTGGCTTTTTACAGTTCTTTCCTAGCCAGGAAAACAGAAGCAGAAATAAAGTAAGTTTCATTTTCTCTTTCCAAAATAAGATGTTTGTTTTGGGGCTTTTTGTTTTGTTTTTGTTTGTTTTTTACCAAAAGGTAAATAATGCTTATTTCTGCTTCCTGTTTTCTTGGCTTGACTTATTACTTTGAATGGAGAACTCAATTTAACTTTGTTCTTTTTTCTACTCTTTAATTAAAGGGTAGTCCATGATGGTAAGTCATAGAACTCTGCCCTCTGCACTTCAGCCCATGACCTCAGGATGGCCTGATTGGCTGCCCTGCTCTCCAGCCAATCCAGTGCAAGCTCTCATCCGAGATTCACTGAAGTGGTCCATATCCATCTGGCAGCATCTTCTAGTTCTCTCGGGGTGTCAAAAGGATTTGTATATTTGCTTCTAGAAGTAACTATTAAACATGCCTATGTATATAATGTATTCCTGTAACTATCAAAATGAGTAGTTCATTTTTGATAGATTTGTTGTCCAGCCATTATGAATTAAATGTCTTTGGGTTTTTTTAAGCTCAGGAGTTTGACGAGTTTTTGGTATGTGTAATATGTATTCTACCAAAAAAATTTTATAACAGCTTAAAATGATACATACTAGATGTTTTTCTAGCTGCTAGGCTATTTCTGGCAACATGAGCAGTAAGTATTTCAGTTTTAAAAGAGATGTTATTTAAATACTTTGGAACTTGCACTTTTGAGATGCAGATACTGTGATCTGGAGTGCTGGCTCATTTAAAATAGATGTTATCCAGCCACGAAGACAATGTTATAACACTGTTGATGGTGTGCAGGACTATGTTCTTGACTTTCAACCAGGTGTTTCTTTTATAACTACCATACTTCATGTGGACTTAGTAAATATTACAATTATTTTGCAAAGTCTTAAGTTAACAAGTGCATGACATTTTAAGTGTTCATAGTTAACCAGATTTTTGCAATTTTAATAAGTCTTAAAAGAAATAGTCCACTTACGCATTTTAACTTTGAAATGACTTGTAAAATATTTTAAGTACTTTGAGTGTTGCTAAAAGTCCAGCAGTTGAGTAACCAAAATAGTTTCACTTCTCTTTGTGCATATTACCAAAAAAAGGTATGTAAACGAGGCGTTTATGTACATTGTTGTTTACTTCCCGGCCTAGGTGGTTTGGGGGGCTTTTTTCCTTCTGTTAGCTTAGTTTCTTAATGTAAGTGTGAACCAGTGAGTGCTTTCTGAGAGTGCCTTTTTACCCTGTCGTGGCGCCTTGAATTTTCTGAAAGAACTTGGTGACACTGCTTTTCTTTGTGGATAAAGGAGAGATGGTCAATAATTAATGGCTTGAAGTATTGTTGGAGTGGTTTATCATTCCTTAACCATAGTTATATAAGAACTATCAAAGCGTTGTGTTACTTTAAAAATTGCATTCTGTTTGGCATAGTAATTTTTAAAAGACTTCGGTCATATATTGGAAAGTTTACAAATAGTTTTAATGTTAAAGCCTTTTCTCAATTGATTTTTGAATTATGCCTTTTTATGCTAGATTCGATGTGACTGTAAATATGAGGAGAAAAAAGAATACAGTAGATTGAGTCTCCAGTGTGTATAAGCTTCATTGTTGTGTTGACACATAAAGCTTATAGTTTAAATATTTTTCAGGAATTATATGAACGACAGTCTTCGAACCAATGTTTTTGTTCGATTTCAACCAGAGACCATAGCGTGTGCTTGCATCTACCTTGCAGCGAGAGCTCTTCAGGTACGTGTATGTGGTTGCTTTGTCCTTTAGGATAAAGCATGATAATTAGCAGTTTTGACAAGAATCAGTAAAAATTTCTTTTCAACCACCCTTTTCTCTGGTCTTAGATTCCACTGCCAACTCGTCCCCACTGGTTTCTTCTTTTTGGTACCACAGAAGAGGAGATCCAGGAAATCTGTATAGAAACTCTTAGGCTTTATACTAGAAAAAAGGTAGTTGTTTTATTTACCTGTGTTTTGTGGTAATAATCTTATTGCTAAAAATCTAAGCTTCTGTGAGATACTAACTTCATTTTCTTCCAAAAGCCAAACTACGAAATGCTAGAAAAAGAAGTGGAAAAGAGAAAAGTAGCTTTACAAGAAGCTAAATTAAAAGCAAAGGGATTGAATCCGGATGGGACTCCTGCCCTATCAACTCTTGGTGGATTTTCTCCAGCCTCCAAGCCCTGTAAGCTGTATTCAGAATTGAAATGACTTGGGAAGGGGCTGTGGTCGCTGAAGGTTTATATGGTGAAAACTTTAGCATTCAGTGGTTCCATAGAAGCCAGTGTTAAAAAGCGACAGTCGCTGAAGACAAACTTGTTCAAGAAGGATGTAGAGATCATTTTTGTATATTCTGGGTGGCAACACTGATCCTTATTTGCTTCCTTTAAGATCAACTAAGAAAGCCCTATTGAACAGTTTATCTTTGTAACACATGGGATCACAAGTTAAAATTGTCTCAATGTTAACTGAGGTGTTAATTGTGTGAATGTGTTTTAAATCCAATAATTAATGTGTTGTCCCTGCCCTTCGCTCCCCTGCCCCGCCTTTGTTTCTTAAAGCATCACCCAGAGAAGTTAAAACCGAGGAGAAGTCACCAGTTTCCATCAATGTGAAGACCGTCAAAAAGGAACCCGAGGATAGACAGCAGGCTTCCAAAAGTCCTTATAATGGGTGAGTTAGCGAGCAGGCTGAGAGGCTTTTAGTTTATGTGCTCTTTCTATTGCTTAGGTGTAACTTACATTTTGTGTGTTTTTGTGAAGTGTAAGAAAAGACAGCAAAAGAAGTAGAAATAGCAGAAGTGCAAGTAGATCAAGGTCAAGAACACGCTCACGCTCCAGATCACATACGCCGAGAAGACA